ACTTGTTTATTATATATTGATCATTCAATAAAACAATCAAGCACTATGTTGAATTTTAAAGCTGAAAACGATGTTTGAAAGAGAAGTAAAATTTGTCGCATGCACATGTGTGAAGCCATAAAAAACACGGACTTTGAAGAGGCCCGTTAGAGGGCCTCCTTCACTTGAGAATTACATAGTACTGTATAGTATGGTGTGTTGTGTTGTATGCATGGTAATAACAGGCACAATTCGAGCAGGTTTTTTTTTTTTTTATTCTTTCGCTTCAATTTTTATGATGTCATCACCTTTGTATTACGTTCGTAAAATCGGGAATTCGTAAAATCGGGGTTCGTAAATGAGGGGTTCTACTGTAGTATAGTTAAGTAATCATACACTAGTGGAAATTATTATACAGTTATATAAATTACAGTATATATTTTATTATGCAAAATTATTGAATGCATGAAATAATTTGAAATTATTTAACTGATTATTACTAGAATACTCTAGTTATATTTTTAACACTTCTGCTGATTTAGATATTGTACTGACAAGTTAAAACATTGCTGTGTTTCCTCCCATTATCTTCTTCTATATTTATCTGTGTTTCCCCTGTATATAAAGTTTATTGAAAGTCCATGCCTTAGATTCATTATGTTTAATTTGGTTAAATAATTTTTCGCAGGCCAATGCTCAGTTTGCTGGACACACAGCTTTACAAGCTGCAAGTCAGAATGGACACACGGACATCATCAAGGTTCTTATGTCCCACATGGTTGATGTCGAAATTGAAGTAAGATTCTTCACTGTTTTGTTTGGTGATCTTTAGCTTTAGTAGTGCTGTAAAAATTTTATATTATCTAATTGTTGTTATGCAACAAACTGACACTGAATAAAATGAAGACCAAGTTTTTGATTTGTGCTTCTAAGAGTCATTCTTCCTTCGATCATGTTAAAGGTATACATTTCTCATTAAGAGACACCATTAAGAAACCATTTAGTACTGTAGTGTCCGCACACTTGGAATAAATATAGACTTGGAGTTATTATAGACATGTCAGCTTACAAACAAGTGTCAAAGGTCTGAGTGTTCCATCTTAGAAATTTATGGCAAACAGGAAGGGCACTGGTCCTCTCAAGACTGGACTACTGCAATTATTTGTAAAGTGGCCTGGTAAAAACAGATTTCTATACTCTGCAGAAACTTCAAAATTCTGCTGCTAATCATTTTTTCTTGTAATACTTGCACTCATGATTCTTCTCACATTCGTACAGTCACTCTCTGGCTTATGCCCTTTGTATATTTCTAATTACCTGATACTATGCGCCCGTGTGCGCTTAACAAGACTTTCAGATACCATCAAACCTGTGAGACTGGTTTACCATAAATGTATGACAACTCCTTTCCTCTAACTTCAGGTCTTGTGATTGGGTAAGGCAATTCATGTTCCATATGAGAACATTTATTTATTTGTTTATTTAGCTTGTTTTTGTTTTAATTAATATTTGAACCCTATTGCTTGGAGTTTCTGCTTCATTGCATTTTTACGTTGTTTGAGTTTGGTTTGTATGCAAGCTTTGCTGGGGCTCGGGGGTTTTAATTATCACGGAGAGCGGCAAACATAGCTTCGTAACTGCAAGTAAAAGCACTATATAAGTAACAATTTTATAATGACCCACATACCCCAAACCCTTTAACATAGTAACAACATTAAAAGAAAATAAAACATATGTATGACCTAGGCAAGTTATGATCCAAAAAGTGCCTGTTTAATGGAATTTTGAGTGTATGTAGCAGGGTCAATAGAGAAAGGGATGAAGCCAATTTAACAGAAAAGGGGAGAAATGTAGATGAAAGTAAAGACGTTCAACCGTAAAGGGCAAAAAAGGCCATGAGAAGATCTCAGTGAAGTTGCAAGGAGGAGGGAGCGATGAATAAGTAGGGTGTTGAAGAGTTTGGACAATTTTGCGAATAGCGCAGAGGAGAAAAAAATTTGATTTTAAAAGAGGTAATGTGGAATTGGGAAAATGTATCCCATCATCAGTCATTAATTCTGTTACATTCCCCTGCTTCAAATTCCGTTTCAAACATTTTATTTTAACTATTGCCCCATTGTTTCAACATTTGTTTGCAGATTGCACACATTTTCCATCATTTGACTTTTATTTATCTTTTATTTGTCAACAGCCATGCTGCTAGAGTCGCCCACTAAAAACATACCGTAGTTCAAACAAAATATAAATAATATAGGTAATAGTAATATGGTAATAATCTATTTACTAAGGTTTGTGATCACAGAAAGTTACCTTTAACTTCCATTTTTTGATGAATAAATTTTTATTTAGTGTTTATTGCTTTAACTCTTCACATACAATTGAGATTTGAAAAGTGCAATTTGGTATGTGTCTTGGTAAACTGATTTCAGAGTTTTGGCCAATGTATGTGGAAGCGCTGTCTTCTGATTGGGTTGGAAAGTTTGAAACTGACCACTAGTTGGTGTCCTTGCCCTGCGCACATTATCTGTAATGTCTCGCCCCCAAAGATTCCTGTATGTGTTTGATGTAGATGAACTACAATGTGAAATGCCTGATGCCATGATATGCTGCATATGACTGGCATTTGATTATTATTTAATGCTGTCCTGTTGCTTCACATCACATTACTTCGCATCACATGTACTGAACATTGGTGTCAATTTAGCAGTCTCGGCTCTAGCATAATGTAGTGTGCTAGACTGCCATATCTCTAGATCAATACGTAGCCTGTTTTAGCCGTGTTTCACTAAAAAGTAATTTGAAGGTTTTTACAATAGAATTTTAAGCTGGATTTTTTTAAGACTTATTTTGCATTCTGCCACTGATAATGATGATTTTTGTTGTCATGAAATCTCATTAAATCAAATGTAAAATACATTTATCAGTCTCATTATCATACTGTTTTCTTCAGAACTATAATAAAAAATAAAAATAAAAGATCACTTAATGCGCCATCTAGCATGCAATATCTAGGCGCAGTGACTGAGGAATAGAGTGTCACAATGTCACAATTATTTGACTGCACAGTAAGACCACAAGAGCAGAGCGTCCTCAGTTACTATTTTGGAACATTCAATTTATTTTACTTTCATTACTCTGTCTAGCGATTTGAAACCATTGTATTTTATGTCCAGAGTAGAAATTTAAAAAAAATATTAAGTGTTACATATTTGTCATAATTATTACTCTACAAAATATTAATTGCAGTGAAATTAATTTGTCTGATGTCAATCGGTGAATGAGGTCAAGTAGAATAAGAAATAACACGTTTCAAGACGATTAGGTGAACAATCTCATCATTATTTATGTGGTGCAAGTAAGCTTGCTGAGATTAAATATAGGATGGAAAAGCTCATGCTGTTACTGCATGGCAATAAATTACTAAATCTAGTTTCAATGTTTATCAATCAAAATCCTACATAATACTTGACTGCACTGTAATTTGTAATGTGTATTCATTATAGGACAAAGATGGTGACCGATCAATTCACCATGCTGCTTTTGGAGATGAGGCATCGATCATACAGATATTACATTGTGGTGGAGCAGATTTGAATGCCCGTAACAAACGGCGCCAAACAGCGCTTCATATTGGTGTAAATAAAGGACACTTGGGAGTAGTGAAGGTGTTGCTGGAACTTGATGCTCATCCTAGCCTACAAGACTCGGAAGGCGATACACCGCTTCATGATGCCATTAGTAAAAAACGTGATGATATTCTACAGCTCCTATTGGATCACAGTGCTGACATCTGTATCACAAATAACAATGGTTTCAACGCCCTGCATCACGCTGCTTTACGTGGCAACCCAAGGTAAATATTTTTTTAATTGAATTTTATACAGCAATGAATGTGTTTATATTAATAAACTTTTGCAGTTGAATTTGGTTCTGTCATATCCATAGAGTGATTATGTAAGTATCTGTACAAAGTGAATTATACAGTTTAGGTTTATTCTTTTCCTGTATTAAATTATGTATGTCCTTTATATTCATACATTTCATTATTTTTGTCTGTATGATGTTAATTCAAAACTTTTAATTTTTATATATTTTCGTGCTGCCTGCTATACAATTGAATATCAAAATTATTAATAGTACTAACAATAAGATGACAAACCTTACAGTTCCTTTACATGCTGCTAGCAAGTGACAGGCCTGTTGATTCTATTACTGGTAGCTGGTTAACAGGCCTGCCTATTCTATTGTAGGTACCAAGTTTACAAGCCTGACAGTTCTATTGCATTACAAGAACAGGATTGAGGATTCCATTATAGGTTCCAAGTTGACAGGCTGGAGAATTCTAGTATATAGATACCAAGTTATAAAGCCTTGTATTTTTATTACAGGTACCAAGTTTACAAACCTGAGACCTGTACCTGCATAGCAAGTTAACTGGCTTGAGGATTGCATTAGGTTCCAAAAGTGCTAGAGCAAGATTGATTGTTTTAATACTAGAATTCTAGTATATAGATACCAAGTTATAAAGCCTCGTATTTTTATTACAGGTACCAAGTTTACAAACCTGAGACCTGTACCTGCATAACAAGTTAACTGGCTTGAGGATTGCATTAGGTTCCAAAAGTGCTGGAGCAAGATCGATTGTTTTAATACTAGAACTAGTTAAGAAGGCTGATGATTATATTATACTGTATTTTATATTCCAGGTAGCCGGATAACATGCCTGACAGATTTTTATTTCAGGTTACAGGTTAACATGCTTAGTTTTAGATTTCTATAGGACTGATACACAATGTAGAAAAACTGCTATATGCGGGTCAGGTCCCACTACAACTAGCCAGTTGGACTGCTACAAGGTAACCAGTTAAAATGCCTAATAGATGGCTAATGCAGCATTTGGAAGATCAAGAGGACAGCTATATGTTGCGCTTACACATTTATTATGGAAAGCTCTTACAGTATTTGGTCCAAATTCACTACCACCACCAAAAGACTACTACAAACAGACAGTCTGATCGACATTTATGAGCGGATGACTACATGTTGCCAGACTGACAGAAAGCTGGAGCAGTTTGAAGACTTCTGAAGCTCTGTGCTCAGATTTAAAGTGAGTAAAAGCATTGAATATTTTTGTTTGCAAAAATTCTAGTAATTACCAGAAATAAATATTGTTTAAATGTACATCATTCGAATATGATGTCAATGTACTGTACTTCTTGTAGTGAAAGTTTTAGTAAAATTTTGCATCATGCACACATACAATTTAACTATATAGAGAAAGTTCAGCTGGTAAATCATGCAATTTTTTAATCCTTTATTCAAATCAATCAAATCCAGTGGCGCTCTCATGCAGCAGTCCGCAGGGCCCTGAATTCTAGGGGCCCCGAAGTGGCCCTACCCATAGGTTCCTCAATCTAGCACCCTGACCAAAAAGGACTTTATTGATAAATAAAACCATAATGTGTCTCTGAAATAGACTCTATGGCATCATATTATAATGATTAAAGAGAAAGGGCCCATCCCAGGACCCCAAAGTTTGATTTTTAATTCTCGAGTGAGATGTGTATAAGAGACAGGTAGAAAAACTGCTATATGCGGGTCAGGTCCCACTACAACTAGCCAGTTGGACTGCTACAAGGTAACCAGTTAAAATGCCTAATAGATGGCTAATGCAGCATTTGGAAGATCAAGAGGACAGTTATATGTTGCGCTTACACATTTATTATGGAAAGCTCATACAGTATTTGGTCCAAATTCACTACCACCACCAAAAGACTACTACAAACAGACAGTCTGATCGACCAAACATTTATGAGCGGATGACTACATGTTGCCAGACTGACAGAAAGCTGGAGCAGTTTGAAGACTACTGAAGCTCTGTGCTCAGATTTAAAGTGAGTAAAAGCATTGAATATTTTTGTTTGCAAAAATTCTAGTAATTACCAGAAATAAATATTGTTTAAATGTATATCATTTGAATATGATGTCAATGTACTGTACTTCTTGTGGTGAAAGTTTTAGTAAAATTTTGTTTCATGCACACATACAATTTAACTATATAGAGAAAGTTCAGCTGTTAAATCATGCAATTTTTTAATCTTTTATTCAAATCAATCGAATCCAGTGGCGCTCTCATGCAGCAGTCAGCAGGGCCCTGAATTCTAGGGGCCCCGAAGTGGCCCTACCCATAGGTTCCTCAATCTAGCACCCTGACCAAAAAGGACTTTATTGATAAATAAAACCATAATGTGTCTCTGAAATAGACTCTATGGCATCATATTATAATGATTAAAGAGAAAGGGCCCATCCCAGGACCCCACCAAATTTCTCAAAAAAAAAAAAAAAAAATTTAAAAATGAAGATAAAAAGAATTTGAAGTCTGTGAGTGCCATTTCCGGCCATCTAGGCGTGCCATAGTAATACATTTTCTTATCTTAGCCCCACAAGGGCAACAGCATAATGTGAGTCTAAAATCGATGTAGGACGTATCATATATATAAAATAAATAGTGCGCGGGATCGTGGAGCTGCCGGTTTGGGGCCCACTAAATTTGTCAGAATATTTTTTAACTGGAGATAAGGAGAAAACTCAATATTTTGTCTGTGAAGTGCCATTTCCGGTCATCTAAAGGTGCCATATTCATAAATTTTCTTACCTTAGCCCCAAACATGGTGGGTCTGAGATGGTATAGAATCTCCAACTTTGAAAGTCCCTCACTGGCCTCTTTTCTGGATGCATATTATCATTTATTAGTCGTTAAAAAAAGAATTTAGAATAACAATGCACACCTAAAAATCCCACAATGGAATTGGTGACCGTGACCCAAAAAGGGCCCCTGGCCCCACCATTACGCCACTGATGGAATCACAGCAAAAATACTTATGAGATAAAAACAATTCAAATTTCAAAAGGAACTTCAAAGTAAAGTAAATAAAAGGAAAACATTAATGTTCAGTCATGTAAAACTTAAATGTGATCTTAAACTAAAAATGTTAATGCAGACTGACACACATAAACATATACAGAAAAAAAACCAAAAAAGAACCAAAACCTACAAACTTATACATGGAATATACATACATATCTATGCAAAACTTACCCATGAATACATGTCTGTACTTGTAATGCAGACAGTACATACACACCACACCAGTCACACATGAAACGCATATCAAGTCTGATCTCTCAAATCAAATCTACTGTACAAGTTATAGAAAGTAATACAGGACTTTAGTTAAAATGTTCATTTTCATTTTTGATCTCCTTTCTCCTTTTCCATGCCCTTGTAGCACACCTTTTATCGGACCAACTTGACATTTGTCTTTCTAAAGATAAAGTATTGAAGTTGTCCTAATAATATACACTATGCCATCTACAATTGTAATTTTTTTTAGTTCATCAATATCAGACTTAATATTTAAAGAACACCAGACAGCAGAACCATGATTAATTGATAGGGATTCCAATTGTTTTCCATAAAATATCCCCATAGTATATCCTATTAAAATTATTGCCGTTATCGATCAGTGATTTAATATACAGTAAGCAATTAGTCTATTGCACTTTGTAATTACATTAGTCATGATGTGCCTATATTTGGTAATGATGTGATGTCATCATGACCATATTTAGGCATGTCACATGTTTTTTCAAATAGGATTTGATAGTCTGGACAGGGCTTTAGTCTGTTGAAATCTTCTGTGGTTTCTCAAACTCATACCATGTGTAGAAATACTTTGTAGAAAAGATTAAACTTACCTGAGTTTAAAGTTTGATTTTTAATTCTCGAGTGTTATGCTTGGTGAAAGACGCTTACCTTCCAGTCCCAGGTTCCTGTCAGTGTTGCAGGATATCTTCTCACAACCAAAACAACTCCACTCTGAAAACCTCATATTGAGATTTAGTTTGTGTAGCCATGAACCTACTTATTAATAGGTCCATGGTGTAAAATTATGAAAAGATTATCCCATTTGCTTCCTCCATGTTACACTTTTCCGCTTTAACAATTGGAGAAATTGATCGTTTTTGTTAGAAAAACATGTTGTACCTTGGAATTCATTACCAAATAATGGCCCAAGTAGATTATGTTTTGAAAATCATTTCTCTATTAGTGTAACAAAAAAAATAAAGAAATTGTTACCTCCTCCCACTGTTTTGAATAAGAAATTTCAAGAAATTCATGGATTTTGGCTTTTTAAAGCTTGTTTCTGCATTTTTCACCTGTGAACCATTCTTTTTTGAGTTTCAAATAACCTGAATAGATTCTTTTTAAGCTTAAAACTGATATAAAACTTAATAGGATTAATTGAGTAGTCCTGTAAAAAAATGATTTGGCTTTGTAGATCGAATGGCATCGTTTGTGACGGTTCTGTATTTCCATTAAGAAACAGAAGAAGTCTTTTGTGTGTATTGGGTTGCTCATAGCTTTCATTCTCTAAGTATTATGATTATAATGTCAATGCAATGCATACATTATTTAATAAAGGTTCAATATTTATTTACCGTACTGAGTAATGATCCATTTTGTTAGTAGTGTAAGAAACCCCACACATGTGACAATGCAAGAACCCACACAGTGTTATTGACCTTAATCAGCTAATTAAGGTTTTAAATGGGAAAAACTGGCCTAAACCTGTTCAAAGGAGCATTATGATATATGTATGTTGTGACAGGGATTGTCACCTACAAATAGGGCAGTGATATATTTGTTATTGACAGTATTTAGTGCATGTGTTGTGTGCGTAAATAAATAAAATAATAAATATTAGTGATTGTAATGGGCGGAGGTTGTGATTGGAGCATTCTGCATGGATAAATCAGTTTTGAAATTAAGACTACAAAGAATGTGCGACAAAATTTTTCTGTTGTAAGTCTAA